TGCTCCTGATCCTGCTCCTGCCTGCTCCTGATCCTGCTCCTCCTCCGCCCACTGTGACGATGACCATGGCAGCAACGAGGGCCCACTGCATAGTCGCACCGGCGACCGGGCCCGGGCTGTCAGTGCCCGGGAGCCCTCGATGACTAAAAAAGACTCATTGGTGTTCTAAATTTATACTTTTTATTTGTACCGAGATATTGTATTTTAAATTCAAATATTTGTTCCAGATATTCAGCTTTTTTTAAGTAGATATCACAACCATTATAATTTGAGACCACCGGTAGTTTTTGTTACCCCTACCCACACTATTCTCCTTGTTTTTGTTCTAAACGTACCCCCTATTTGGTACTACCCCCACCCTGCGGTAAACATATTTGACCTCTTTTTCCACGGTAAACTAGGGACCCCCACCCCCAACTTGATCTCCATACCCCTACTACCCCTCTTTCTCGGACCCTACCGTCCGAAGACCCTACTACCCCATAAATTAACCCACCAACGACCCCCACCCCCTAGGGCTGCTGCCTCTTTACATGCCAAGAAGGACACAGACCAGTGTAAACTGACCCCAGTACCCCCCCTGTTGCTCCATGGCCCCCATTGACCACCCCTACCCTTACCCACCCCTGTGACCACTCCCGTCACCATCTGCCTACCAAACTCACCCCACCCACCCCTTCATCGACGATAGCAATCGTAACAGTAGTGTAACGATCTACTTATCCTAGTGCTCGTACCGCTCAGCCATGCCGCTACTCCCCGTCCTCCTTACTCCCGTTCAAGACCCCCAGCAGCCTTCATCCTCCTCCCAGCAGCCAGTCATCTGCAACCTCCCCCTCCTTGCTGATGCTGCCTTCCTCCTGTCCGCCCCCAACCTCGCAGTCTTCCAATTCCTTCAGAACCAACAGCCCTCTATTGATCCAGTGCAGCTGCTACTGCAAGCGTCTGCTGAGTTACCGTCAACGTCGGAGGAGGTCAGGGATGATGCGTTGGATTCACCAAGACTGGAATACTTGTTTGCTTCCAACCAGCAGGACCAACAGGAGCAGAGGAACCAAGAAAGAGAGGCAGACAACAACCCTACAGCAAAAGACGAAAGAGCGCGCAACGGGCAAGTCAACTGGCATGCGATCTGCGAGCAGATCATAACAACGTGGTTTGAAACGATTGTCAAGGTGCAGGACTCCAGGTTCAAGCAGCAGCTCGACTCACAGATGATGTACTGCTGCAAGATGCGGCTCAAGTGCACGAAGCGGTCAGTTCTGGCCTTCCTTCATCTCTGCGCAGTGAACGAGCTCATCTTCCTCGAGTTCGAGGATGATCCTGACAAAGGATTCTGCGGCATCTCCGGTTTCCAGGTGGCCCCCAACAGGAGCAACGAGTTTTACAACAGGTATGCCCAGATGTGAGATTGAAAACCAGGAAGGGTGAGAAGCGTGTAGGGTATAGATGATGACGCTGATCATATGACCCTGTGAACATGGAAGCTAGAAAGTAGACATCAACACGATCACCTGTTAGCAAACAGGTTCCTTTGGCATCGTAGTTAGAGAAGACAGAGTCCCCCCGCACACTACAGTTCACGAGTGGCAGCAGTACTAACATGACGGTTGCAGGTTTGTTACCTTGAGGCGCGGGAGCTTTCAGGGCTTCGATCCCAGGAACGACACACATCACAACGAGAAGATGAAGATATCTCATGTAGAAGAGCATTCGATCCGCAACATCTTCAGGAATGTTTGCCTCGTACCGAAAGATCCTGCTCACTGGGTGGAAGCCTTTGAAGGTCAGATCCCCTTCACGTTCAACAAGCCCAAGAAACAAGCGTTCCCCCGCGGTTTGCGCGCCATGAGAGCCGGTCGCTCCCGCAGCGGTCACGTCTCGCCCAACCTTAGTTGGGGATGAAAGCTCCTACCGCTGTTGAAACCTTAGAATACAACAAGATCTACATACCTCCTCCTTGCTCGTCTCCCTCCCCTCGTCACAAACTCCTCTACTGCACACTTGAAATCAGCATCAAAGGGTCTCAGATGCAAGAGGAATGAGCTGACAAGCTGGGGGCCTAGCAGTCAGACTGGACATACTTGCCATGTCTGATGTGGAATATCATAAGATCTGACAAATCAGTTCTCCATGTTCCTGTGTCCTATCCTCTCCCGTCCTGTCTTCTCCTGTCCTGTCCTTCTCCTCCCCTCGTCCTCTCCCCTCCCCTCGTCTTCTCTCCTCTCCTCTCCTCTCCTCTCCTCTCCTTTCCTCTCTTCTCCTGTCCTGTCTTCTCCTATCCTCTCCTGTCCTGTCCTGTCCTATCCTATCCTATCCTATCCTATCCTATCCTATCCTATCCTATCCTATCCTGTGTCTACGATATCGCTGGTTGGTGTTTCTACTGAAAGCCTTCATATTTTGTGATCCAATGCATTATTGTCCGTTGCAATGTCACATCTTGTAGCAGATATATGTAACCTTACACTGTCAACCATCACATTACCCGTGTAGAAAAGCAAACTGTTCCAGCAACAAACGGGTAGAAGATGTTGCAAGAAAGAACCAATACGTTGATTTTCACTCATCCAACATAACAAGCTACAAGTTTTAATCTTGTTTTAACCATCGTCTATTTATTCCCTCAGAGACTCCCTAACGATTTTGGCGACTTTGATCAAATACCCCAGAGCCGGTATGCCATGAGTCTTTCTTGCCTTCTTCTGATCGAGTTTCTGCAGTTTCTGAAGGATTGCGGTCATTGTCTTCTTTGCAACCTTCTTGCCCTTGTGTCTTGTCCCTGGAGAAATCTCAACCTCCTCGCTGCTGCTTCTCCTCTGCAGGATTTCGGTGGTTGTCAAATGACGAACGAGGGCAACAACCAGCACGCACAACTCCACCTCCTCTCGGACTTCGCTCTCGCTCATGTGACGCGCACCAGCCCCCATGAGGGGGTCTAGAGTGCCTTCATACTCGCTTGCAAACTTCTCCCATGAGGGACAAGAGTCGTCCAAGTCCATGGAGGTACAGCAGCTGCCGAGGAGTATGCCCTCCACTACCTGTGCTGCGAAGACGCTGTCGTCGAAGTGAAGCAGCTTCAGCTTCAGCTTCAGGCTGGCGACTTTCTCCCACTCTCGCTTCCAACACCTCCTAAACCTCTCTGACTTCCAGCATGACTTGGTGACGAGCTGGTGCAGGTCCAACCACGCAGAGTCGGACGGGCAGCGACAGTCTCCTTCACCGACGAGGCTCATGACCTCAATGATGGACGGGCCCAGCGTCTCTTCGTGCACACCAGACGCCACCAGGAGCTCCCTTACGCAAGTTCCTTCTCCGAACTGACCGTCGTAGAGCTTGCAGAGGTCGATCAGGAACGGGACGTAGGAGCCATAGGGGCTCTGGTTCTTCTGCTTGGACCTCAACTCATGTACAAACACCATCAGGTCTGCAAAGAGCCGGTTGTTCCTCACAAAGTTCTCCAGCTGGTCCCCAGGTAGACGTTGCGCGCCACATACCAGCACCTCCTTCAGCTGGCTCATCCTGACATCGCTCGAGCCAGCGTGCTTGCCCAGTAGCTTGCAAGCAGCACGGAGGAGGTTGACTGACAGGTAGCGGTTCATCCGGAGACAAGTCCTTGCGCTCGTGAGGAACGAGTCACATTCCTCTCCTGACGACAAGAGAACGTTGTGCAGCATGCTCTCTTGCGCTGCGTGCAGCCCTCTGGGCCCGGCCATCGCTGCTGCTCCCGGCACATCGCTCAAGGCCAGGGCGAGCACGTCCTCGCAGCCACTGGGAACAGACTTGGGCTGTACTGGGGATCCGCAGGAGCCTTCAGGCGCAAGGGCAACCCTGAAATTACACTCCCCAACACTGTCGACCTTCTCAGGAGATGCCGTGTGAGCGACTAGTGTTGGTAAACCCTGTCGACTTGTCTGAGACTGGTCATCCATACACTCCACATCCGCCATGTCGCTCGTACTAACGATGTCGACCTTCTGAGGAGATCGGTTCTCAGTGTTGTCGCCCGAGACAGCGTCTACACTTGATAGCGTCAGTACCTCGGAGGGAGCCTTGCTCTTGTCTGTGTCTGCCGTGTGAGCGACTAGTGTTGGTAAACCCTGTCGACTTGTCTGAGACTGGTCATCCATACACTCCACATCCGCCATGTCGCTCGTACTAACGATGTCGACCTTCTGAGGAGATCGGTTCTCAGTGTTGTCGCCCGAGACAGCGTCTACAGTTGATAGCGTCAGCACCTCGGAGGGAGCCTTGCTCTTGTCTGTGTCTGCCGTGTGAGCGACTAGTGTTGGTGCACCCTGTCGACTTGTCTGAGACTGGTCATCCATACACTCCACATCCGCCATGTCGCTCGTACTGACGATGTCGACCTTCTGAGGAGATCGGTTCTCAGCGTTGTCGCGCGACAGCGTCCGCAGCTCGGAGGGAGCCTTACTCTTGCCCGTGTCTGTTGAGTGTGCAACTGGTGCTGGTGTGCTCTGTGGACTTGTCTGAGACCGGGCAGCCTTCCTACGTGGAGTTGGGCCTCGCCCAGAGGGGCTTGTGACTGTTAGGAAGCTGGCCTCGAAGATGGAAGTCTTTCGCCTGACTCTTCTCTCTGTCGTACACAGCATCGCACTACCAGGGTGATCAAACTCGAGCTTCTTCAACACTGCCGGCTTGCGTTTGATCTTCGTTTGCGGGGTAGCAGCCAGGTCGCAAGATTTCCAGGAGCTTGTACTGTCACCGTTGCTGATGGAAGCCGGAGAGTCGATGACAATCACTTCCACACACGCGCTTGAAGAGTCATCAGGCTTCTGCCACCATGACATCAGATCGAGCAATCCCTGATGGCTGCCTTGAAAGCTCACCTTTGCTAGTCCGAGATCAAGGATCTCACAAGAACAGCTGTTGGTACTCGTCGAATACTGTGCAGCTGTGTCCTGGAACTCATCTTCCCTCGAGTGGTTATCAACCTTGACAGCAGTCTCGTTTGAAACAGGAGGCTGCCAGGAAGAAAGAGAGTGATCCATTGTTGTCGCAGTCATCTACAGGATACCTCTGTAGTCTCTTTCTTCGTTTCAGCCTCGCGTTGCCTTCCTTCTGACTGCTGTGAACAAATGAATCAATGTTCTTGTGCACAGTTACATGGATATGACTCATACGTTTGATTCTTTTGTGCACAGACCAGATCCAAAAGCTATCGAGCTTTCGAGCTTTTTGAAATATCGCTGGATACCCAACATCTGCAAGTTATATCAGATCAATGCAGTATAATCAAGGAGATCAAATCTGTTCTGTGTTCTATGTTTGTGTGATGTTATGCCTCTCTCGAAGAAATCTAAATTTACAAGATAAAAGAAAATCCCAGGTCATCCCATCATGACATCTTCACTCGTGTACTTCCTCCTTCTTAGCTCCCCTTCCAGTACTTTTGACGATTTCTACATTAAATGCCACCAGGAGCTCTTGCGATCCTGCTTCTTGATTCTCTATCTCTCTTGTGATTCATCTACGTGTATATCTCATCCCCCCTCCTCTTCTTCTCCTCGTTCCTCCCTTGTCTCCATACTTTCGCCAAGCCATTTCCCGAGGGCGGGAACCACACAACCCCCACAGCGGACTACCCACCCAGTTCACTTCGTTCAACTTTCGAAATATATTTAGATATATTTCATCAAAGTTTAAACTATTGTGTCATAATTTCGATAAATTACCTCAAACCTACTATGTGATTTCTGCAATTCCCCACCCGACCCCACCCCACCACACCACACCCTCAATTTGAACTTGCCTCACCATTTTTCCCACCAAATCCTCCAGTTCAAATTTCAGTCACAAGACTTTTGAAATGTCACGCCTCCCGGGCCGAGTCCCACCAGGGCCATCCGATCGTGGTGACGCCACTGGCACGGGCCGGGCAACAACCGAGTCAGTTGATTATCGGCACTTACTCCGTATACACTGCGACTTGAAACGTGGGATCGGACTCCGGCGGTACTTAACTTGATTTTGAGTCAAGTAGTTCGCACTGACGGCCGCGCACTGGGCCCCCGGGCCCGGCGGCGGGACTCACTTATGACTCAGTACCGTAGTACGGTCCGGGCCGCCTGAAATCGCCGGGCCCGCCTCGGTCCGATGAGCTTCGGAAACGGTCACCCTTTACTCAAAGTTAAGTTAAAGATCAGTACGAAGACAATCAGGAGAGGTCACGAGTCAGTAGTGCTTACGAGGGCGGTTTTAAGTTAAATTTGACACCGTCAGTACTACTGGTAGTGACTCATGGAGTAGTAGCCCGATCATTTCAGGCTCAAACTTGAGATTCCGGCAGATCATTACCGAAAGATAAGCACACCAGGGGAAAATTTGAAATCTTGAGAGAGGATTCTAATACCTCGCATCGAATGTTGGAAGAAGTCAAAACTCTGACAGGACGCAAGGCGAGTAACCTTTCCCTTCTTTACTTTCATAAACGCTATTTTTAGAAAAAAATCCTGCTGTCACAGAGTACAAGTTAATCCGTTTACAATTTGTCTTTTAGACTTTGTACTCGCTATATACATATACATGTACATGTATTTGTAAGATGATGCCGAAGTTGATGAGTTGAATTTTTCGAACCTCCAAAAGATATGCTCTAATTTTGCTCTTTGTTTTCAAAATAATTTCTTTTGTTTTTTAAATGGCCTGTGATCGTCGGATCTTCGAGCTACCACCCGTGGTAACACTCCGTTACCCCTTCTATGACCCCCATTTTTCTAGTATCAAGTACCCCTCCACATGGCTCATGCTGTAACCCAGGGGTGGCAATATTTAACTTCCAGCAACTCCTCCTACATACCCTTCCCTCCCCCGCTTCTCCGCACCGCACGCCCCAAGCCCCAGCAGAAGCCATGCCGACAGCCATGCCGACAGCCATGCCGACAGCCATGCCGACAGCCATGCCGACAGCCATGCCGACAGCCATGCCGACAGCCATGCCGACAAACATGACCGCAGCCATGCGTGACGAGAGGAGAGAGTGGCTCCTCAGGCGCTCTTCTTCTGCTTCCGACCTCTCAGTCTCCTCCTTGGGATCTGCAAGCTCGCCGGAATCAGCAGCATCTCAAGGGTCTTCCAGGCGCAACCTCCGCGTGAGCTTCTCGCAAGTCGACGAACAGCTTGATCGCCGTCACAACCGTATCCGCACCTTGACGAAGCAGCTTGTTCCAAGCGCGAGCATGCCTAACTTGCATGCTCGCCATGCCGACAATGACGAGGATGAGCCATTGCACTCTCCGGTGTTGGATCAGCTCTCCGAAGTAGTCTTGAGCATCTTGCCTCGACGCCACTCCTTGAACGACTTGCAGACGACAGAAAGTCAGAAACGTACCATCCTCAAGAGCGAGTCCACCCTCCAGTCAAACAGAACAGGCCGAAGGAAGTCGGACATCGCTCGATACGAGCTGAGCAAGACCTACACGTGTCTGGGCAGCAAGGAAGAGGCCAAAGAGACCAGGCCAAAAGCCACCTCCGCTCCAAAACTCGAGCAGAGGAAGACTCCAGAGCCTGCAGAGGGTGAGCTCAAGGTTGAATCTGGTTTATCTCATCTCTGGGACAACTGTAAGAAAATGAGCGACACATACCTTATAGGGGCTATCCAGACTCTTGAGCAAGTTTTCGTTCAGTGATGTTGATGTAGTTTACACAAGAGATTAGATTTGGTAGTGCACTATGTCAATTTCGTTTTCCAAGGCAATATATCCAACAGCCTTCACCTGAGCTACGTTTATACGAGAGCGTTTCTATTTATTGTCCTCCACGATCTTGTTCCCTGTCGTCGGGCTCTGGGAAAAGGCAAACATGAGTTACACATACCTGACAACTAGACTTGAGAGCTGGACAACGAGCTAGAGGGAGCAAGACAATACGAATCAAATCATCCCTGGATCATGATCTGTGAAAAAACTTGTTGTCACACCCGTAGCTTTACGGGTTTGTACAGGGTTGCAGACGTCTACAGCAAATGTTCAAGGCAACTCCGCTGGATCGCATACAAAGGTGAAGAGTAGAGATATGAAGTTTATTTGATAACGCCAACACACTTTTGATTCGTAGCACACACAGCAAGGGAAAGGACAGACCACCTTAGCAGTTGTTGACGATGCTTTCATAATCGAGGGGAACCACCAGGAATGTGAGGCTCCTCACGCATGAGCGAGCATCCCTCGTGCGTCCGCTTAGGTCTGCTGCCTGCTCCTCCTCAAGGTTCATCTAATCGTACTGCCGTTAGAGCCCTTGCTTCTCCTCGAGGTTCAGCCAATCTTACAGTACAGGAGATACCACCCGTACTTGGCACACTCTGTCGCCCAACAGGGGTTGTTATCCAGAAGCCCGGTGGCCGTTAGAGCTCTTGCTGCCCTCATGGCTGTAAGACAAGACCATGGCTTCTCTTGCTGCCCACTCCTGCTCAATAAGATTCATTCCTGCGGAGGCTTGAGCTCGCCTTCACAGAGCTCTGATACATGTCTGTCTCAAGTCTCGTTATCAATCATCTCCAGCTCTCGGTAAAGCGTGAGCAAAAGGGCAACTGAAGATATGATGAGAAGATGCCTCAAGACCTGTAAACAGGTCTTGTATTTGTGTTCCTGATTTGAGATTTGCGCTTGCGCTAGACAAGCTCTCGTATAAACGTAGCTCAGGTGAAGGCTGTTGGATATATTGCCTTGGAAAACGAAATTGACATAGTGCACTACCAAATCTAATCTCTTATGTAAACTACATCAACATCACTGAACGAAAACTTGCTCAAGAGTCTGGATAGCCCCTATAAGGTATGTGTCGCTCATTTTCTTACAGTTGTCCCAGAGATGAGATAAACCAGATTCAACCTTGAGCTCAACCTCTGCAGGCTCTGGAGTCTTCCTCTGCCCGAGTCTTGGAGCGGAGGTGGCTTTTGGCCTGGTCTCTTTGGCCTCTTCCTTGCTGCCCAGACACGTGTAGGTCTTGCTCAGCTCGTATCGAGCGATGTCCGACTTCCTTCGGCCTGTTCTGTTTGACTGGAGGGTGGACTCGCTCTTGAGGATGGTACGTTTCTGACTTCCTGTCGTCTGCAAGTCGTTCAAGGAGTGGCGTCGAGGCAAGATTCTCAAGACTACTTCGGAGAGCTGATCCAACACCGGAGAGTGCAATGGCTCATCCTCGTCATTGTCGGCATGGCGAGCATGCAAGTCAGCCATGCTCGCGCTAGGAACAAGCTGCTTCGTCAAGGTGCGGATCCGGTTGTGACGGCGATCCAGCTCTTCGTCGACTTGCGAGAAGCTCACGCGGAGGTTGCGCCTGGAAGACCCTTGAGATGCTGCTGATTCCGGCGAGCTTGCAGATCCCAAGGAGGAGAATGAGATCGGCATGCTTGTCGGCATGTTTGTCGGCATGGCTTCTGCTGTGATGCTGGCGACGCGGCAGGTAAAGCGACAGGGTTCGTTCACGAGGAAGTGCTATGAAGATTCGGAAGCAAGCGGCCTGTTCTGTACTCACCCAGTCTGCCGTCCGCGCGAGCCTGAGGGGGGGGCATGTTGAGGCCCAGAGCTTAGGGTGGCACTTAGAAGATTGACGAGCTTGAGCCGCCGCGGAGGGTCGTGGTCCACTGCAAGCCTGATATGAATCGCAAGAGATGAAGTTCAATTGATATGCCAGTCACGGGGATCGGATGACGCGATTGATATCATCGGGTCACGTGACCTCTCAACCACCCCCAGGACTCCCCGAGGTGACTACCGGTAGCGCGTCACGTCACGTCACGTGAGTTTACTGAAAGTTAAGCCGACTCTTTTTACTGCCGGGCTGATGAAATAGTTGGTTTTCAACCTCACGGCAATCGAACAAACTACTTTTCGATCGAAGTACAAAAAGTTTACTACACACTTTACTTTAAAAAATGATATCATTAATGGCCTCCTCGACTCTCCTGATTGTCCTCCTACTGATTTTTAACTTAACTTTGAGTAAAAGTTCAGTAGCGGTAAGTAGTCCCCGAGCGCTCCGGGCCCGGGCCGCCTGAGCCCGGCCCGCGGCGAGGCCCGGCCCCGGGGGGGCACGTAACGATTGGAGTAACGGTTGTGTCAAATGGCATGGCGACATCTCTTTGCAGGAGGAGGCGCGGGAGAAGGAGGAGGAGGATCATGGTGACTGAAGGAGACAGAGAGAGGAGGAGGAAGTGAAGGAGGCAGAGAGAGGACGAGGAAGTGAAGGGGACAGAGAGAGGACGAGGAAGTGAAGGAGACAGAGAGAGGACGAGGAAGTGAAGGAGGCAGAGGCAGGAGGCCTGTGGAAGTGAAGGAGGCAGAGGCAGGAAGAGGAAGTCAGTGAACTGATGAGGTAGATGACTGAACTCAAGGAAGAGATCATGATTCAGCAACACTCGTGAAACGCAGATAAGATCCAATCCGATCCTCTCGTTGCATCGATGTCACTGTATTCCCACAGTGGGTTGAGTGTACTCGTGTTGTCATGCCTGCTGATGAATCTGGGTTTGGTTTGGGCTGCAATACCCGTGTCCATGCAGGACGGCGGTAAGATGGAAGTGCGCAGTGTAGAGGAGATTGTTTCCTGTGCGGGACAGGTGCGCACGACCAAGGATTCACAGGGGACGTATGCACTGATGCTTCCTGGTGGAGAGGCATACTCATGCTCCTGGTTGATTTCTCCTCCTTCAAGCTCGATTGCATCCGTGCAGTTTTCTCTGGGCCTGAATGCGAGCTTGGAATGCTCCAAGGATTTCTTCATTGAGATACTCGTGTGCCAAGATGTCTTCTGTGCGAGCAGATCGGCCTTTGGCACAGTCTGTGGTTCGACGTTGGAAAAGGTCCCTGTGAATTTCGGGCTTTACATCAATCTCACCATCTCAGCCATTCCGAGCCCGTCGGGCGTCAATTTCAGCTATGTCGGGTTGACTGAGGGTTGCACAAACGAGACTCATCCCATTAGAAGTAACTCGGGCCAGGTCTCTGAATCCATGGGAGCGAGTTCCGATGTCTGCAGTTGGCTGATCCAACCACCAGGAATATCGAGGGTTGTGCTGTCCTTGCGAACTTTTGATCTGGAGCAGACGAGTTGCACCAATCGGTCTGAGACTTACCGCGTGTATCGATGCCTCAGCATGGATTGCGCTGCTTCCGCTCTAGCACAGCTCTTTACTTGTGAGAACGTCTCCAACAGCACCATGTCACTGGACTCTGAGTATGGAGTGAAGATTGACCTTGATCGTTCCTTGTCAGACACATACACTTTGCAACTTACGTGGGACTCTTCGTACAGTAAGTGTCCTGCATCAGAGACCTTGCTGTCAAGTGAGATCATCAATGTGACCAACGGGTTTGGAGGCTGGCATTACAACTACAACTGTCAATGGTGGTTTTCACCGCCAAACGCGACTCATATCACTTCTCTCCTGCAAACCCGCCCAGTGCAAGACGCTCTTGCGCAGTTGAGACTTCAACTTTGGTCTTGCCCGTCTCAGGTGCTGTTGGACAGCGTTCAGGTTCGAGACGATTGTCACAGTGTATGGAATTTGAGTGCCTTCACCCATGAATCGTCTTACAACGTGACGTTCGCTCTTTCTTCCCTTGTAGTTTCATTCGAATCGATCGGCGGTTTTCAGGGTACAGCCTTTCAACTGTCTTTGTTCTCCCTTTCCTGTACCAACAAGCAGTTTGCCTTGCAAGGAGCTTCAACATGCACCAACTGTACGATTTGCCAGGAGGGAGAAGTTTTGATGTCAGCATGTTCAGCTCTGGAGGATTCTTTGTGTAAGGCATGCACTCCATGCGAGGCAAACCAATACATCGCAGCTCCTTGCAACCAGACTGCAGACAACCTGTGCAGGAATTGCTCCATGTGTAATGCAGGGCAAATCTTGTCAAAAGGGTGCACTGTAAATAGTGACACGGAGTGTGGAAATTGCCCAAATTTTTCAACCTCTCTAGATGGACAGACTTGTTCTTGCTTGCAAGGTTTTGAACGTTCAAATTCTAGCAGTACATGCACCCCCTGCAAGGCTGGCACATACAAAGATTCGGTAAACAACTCCTTGTGCAAGCCATGCCCTGAGTTTTCGACAAGCCCAGAAAGCAGCGAAACCTTGAACGATTGCGTGTGTTTAATCGGTTACTACAAAGCAAACGAATCTTGCATACCATGTGCTCTAGGCAAATACAAAGACACACTCGGAACACAGGAATGTACAACCTGTCCTGATCACATGACAACACAATTCGAAGGAAGCCTTTCCCTTCACCAATGTGTGTGCAAGTCAGGGTACACGGGACCAGACGGGGGCAGCAACTGCACGGCATGCGAGCCAGGCACGTACAAGGAGGACGCTGGCAACGCAAGCTGCGTGCCATGCGAGGCAGGCAAGTACTCGGAGGGGCGCGCGGCAGACAACTCGTCGACCTGTCAAGCATGCCCGGTCAACTCGTGGACCGCCGGGGTAGGGGGCGGGAGCTACACAGACTGCAAGTGCAAGGCAGGGTACACGGGACCAGACGGGGGCAGCAACTGCACGGCATGCGAGCCAGGCACGTACAAGGAGGACGCTGGCAACGCAAGCTGCGTGCCATGCGAGGCAGGCAAGTACTCGGAGGGGCGCGCGGCAGACAACTCGTCGACCTGTCAAGCATGCCCGGTCAACTCGTGGACCGCCGGGGTAGGGGGCGGGAGCTACACAGACTGCAAGTGCAAGGCAGGGTACACGGGACCAGACGGGGGCAGCAACTGCACGGCATGCGAGCCAGGCACGTACAAGGAGGTCGCTGGCAACGCAAGCTGCGTGCCATGCGAGGCAGGCAAGTACTCGGAGGGGCGCGCGGCAGACAACTCGTCGACCTGTCAAGCATGCCCGGTCAACTCGTGGACCGCCGGGGTAGGGAGCGGGAGCTACACAGACTGCAAGTGCAAGGCAGGGTACACGGGACCAGACGGGGGCGGCAACTGCACGGCATGCGAGCCAGGCACGTACAAGGAGGACGCTGGCAACGCAAGCTGCGTGCCATGCGAGGCAGGCAAGTACTCGGAGGGGCGCGCGGCAGACAACTCGTCGACCTGTCAAGCATGCCCGGTCAACTCGTGGACCGCCGGGGTAGGGAGCGGGAGCTACACAGACTGCAAGTGCAAGGCAGGGTACACGGGACCAGACGGGGGCGGCAACTGCACGGCATGCGAGCCAGGCACGTACAAGGAGACTCTCGGTCCACAGGAATGTACGACCTGTCCAGCATTTAGCTTTACCTTCGCTGAAGCAAGCAGCTTGATGCAAGCCTGTGTGTGCAAGGCAGGGTACACGGGACCAGACGGGGGCAGCAACTGCACGGCATGCGAGCCAGGCACGTACAAGGAGGACGCTGGCAACGCAAGCTGCGTGCCATGCGAGGCAGGCAAGTACTCGGAGGGGCGCGCGGCAGACAACTCGTCGACCTGTCAAGCATGCCCGGTCAACTCGTGGACAGCCGGGGTAGGGGGCGGGAGCTACACAGACTGCAAGTGCAAGGCAGGGTACACGGGACCAGACGGGGGCGGCAACTGCACGGCATGCGAGCCAGGCACGTACAAGGAGACTCTCGGTCCACAGGAATGTACGACCTGTCCAGCATTTAGCTTTACCTTCGCTGAAGCAAGCAGCTTGATGCAAGCCTGTGTGTGCAAGGCAGGGTACACGGGACCAGACGGGGGCAGCAACTGCACGGCATGCGAGCCAGGCACGTACAAGGAGGACGCTGGCAACGCAAGCTGCGTGCCATGCGAGGCAGGCAAGTACTCGGAGGGGCGCGCGGCAGACAACTCGTCGACCTGTCAAGCATGCCCGGTCAACTCGTGGACCGCCGGGGTAGGGAGCGGGAGCTACACAGACTGCAAGTGCAAGGCAGGGTACACGGGACCAGACGGGGGCGGCAACTGCACAACATGCGAGCCAGGCAAGTACAAGGAGACTCTTGGCTCATACGCCTGCCTGCTTTGCGCCAGGGACACTTATAGGGAGACGGAGGGAGCAACGCTGTCGTCTGACTGTTTGTCGTGCCCGAGTTATAGCGAGTCAGTTGCTGGGTCGACATCTGTCGCCGACTGCCTGTGCTCGTCAGGGTATGGATACTACAACGACTCGTGCCAGGCATGCCAGGCAGGCAAGCACAAGATCAGGACTGCCAACGTCGTTTGCGAGGATCCTTACGGCATAGGTGAAGGCTGCTACATAGACGGCAACTTGTCCAACGCATGCTTCAACGGTCCGTCAGGGGTCGCCATCCTCCAGCTGGGCTCGGACACCCTTGTGCTGGTCTCGGAGGTGGGAAATCACGTGGTAAGGTACATCAACGTCATCTCGTTGCAAGTCGGAACTCTCGCCGGTAGCGGTTACGTCGGTTTCGCTGACGGCGAGGCTCGTGCTGCCATGTTCAACCACCCGATCGCTCTCGCCACGTCACCGGACAACTCAATCGTGCTCATCGCCGACGGTTTCAACCATCGCGTCCGCAGTTTCAACGTCTCCAACATGTCCATCTCAACCTTGGCAGGCGACGGAGGCGCTGGGTTCCAAGACGGCATCGGCACTGACGCCAAGTTCAACTTTCCGAGTGCCCTGAGCTTCTTCGGGGATGGTACCAAGGTTGCAGTGACCGATATGTATAACAACAAGATCCGGATCATCACTCTTGATAGCAAGCTAGTCACGACCCTCCCCATCGTCAGTAGCAGCGGATACTCTCCTGATTTCGTTTATCCGGCAGGCATCTCGATAAGAGCAGGCAATGCGCTACTTCTTGTTTCTCCTCTTCACAACTGTGTTCTTGTTCTCTCAACCAACTGTGTTCTTGTTCTCTCAACCAACTGTGTTCTTGTTCTCTCAACCAACTGTGTTCTTGTTCTCTCAACCAACTGTGTTCTTGTTCTCTCAACCAACTGTGTTCTTGTTCGCTCGACTCACTTGTACTGCTCAGGTGATGTCTCGGCGTTCGTTACAGATCAATACAGGAGCGACTTGGTGGAGGTAGACCTCACTGATGGTTCGATCCGAAGCAGAAGGAGCATGGCAACCGTCCGATGCCTTGATGGAAGCACACGACAGGTTAAGTGTGTTGCATGCTACTGCTCCTCCTGCTCCACCACCACCACCACCACCAACTCCTCCTTCTCCTCCTCTTCCTGCTTCTCCTTCTCCTTCTCTTCCTCCTCCTCCTCTTCATCCTCCTCCTCCTCGCTCCTCCTCCTCCTCCTCGCTCCTCCTCCTCTCGGTTCTATCTCTTTCTCAACCCGTGTATGTTCAGGTTGGGTTTTCCTTTCCTCGAGCTCTCGCGCTTTCGGGGAATTTTCTCCTCATCTCTGATTCAGACAACAACCAGGTGAACCAGTGCGAGTTGCGACTCCTTCGACCCCTCACGCGTTCATTTTCCCAGGTCCGGGTGCTGGACTTGCGATCCCAGATGATGTCAACGATCATGGCGGGGGGGCTGGTAGCGCCCCAGGGGCTGGCGGTACTCGAGGAGCATGGTATCGTCGTGATATGTAACGGCGGGAAGCATCAGGTCAGACTGGGAGGTGGCGGGGAGGAGGAGGAGTGAAGAAAGAGCAGGTGACGGTCGGGCTAATACAGAACCGTTCGTCTCAGTGTTTGTAAGTGTGACAAGCAACGCTGGAGCCGGAGCTAGTTCAACTCTGTTGTGATTGTTTATTCATTGTAATTGCATCAAGAATCTATTCCCAGGCCTCATCATCTTTGACTTGTCAACTATCCCATCCTCTTGGTTTTGAATTCTCCTCTCCCTCGTCCTTCCACCTGTCTCCCAGCTGCCAGCACGTCAGGTCAGGTAAGCTGAGAGCCTCGAGTACCGTAGACGTGTCGAGCATAGCGATATCGAGTCCTCCGCTCTTGGTCTACAGCAGCAGCGTCAGGCGGCAGTCCCTCCCTCCCTCCCTCCCTCCCTCCCTCCCTCCCTCCCTCCCTCCCTCCCTCCCTCCCTCACATCGCAGAACTCCCCGAACTTGATGGAGTCGCCCACCCACTTCGAGTAGAACATGGAGGGATCCAGAACCTGCGACGGCTCAGCAGCAGCCTCCTCCTCCTCCTCCTCCACCACCACCACCACCTTCTTCTTAGGCACGACCACTTCTCCACGGTAGGGGTCCTTCTTCTTCCTCCCCTTCTTCTCCTTCCGTCGTGCTTCTCGCTCAGCCTTGGCGGCCTCCCTAGCGGCCAGCAGTCTCTTCCAGTACCCATCCTCGGCCAACGTTATGTTTGCCTCCCTCGCAGCTGCCCGGAAGGTGTCGATGTCGCTGCCGAGCCAGGGGCGAGGATGGTCGCGACCGAGCTGATGGTAGTCGCCGGTCAAGCCGGAGAGAAACTTGGCCGCCTCGATCTCGAACGTCTCCAGCGCCCACTCCATCGGCGTTCCTCCCCACTCCGCGAAGCTGTTGGGATCTGCTCCGTAGTCGAGCAGGAGCTGGCAGACTTCGACTTGCCCCTTGGCAGCTGCGTAGTGGAGGGCAGTGCCGTTGTAGAAGCTCCTGGCGGAGACGTTCGCTCCTCGCTCGATGAGGTACTTGCAGGCCTCCACGTGCCCGTAGGAAGCTGCGTGCATGAGAGGGGAGTAGTGGACCTGGAACTCTTGCGGGTCCATCGGAGCTCCAGCGCTCAGCAGCCTCTCAATCTTGTCAACGTCTCCTGCAGCCTCGTCAGAGCCTTCGGACTCCCACTCCCACTCGCCTCTCACCGTCTGCTGCCGCTGACAGCAGCCGACTGTGAAGCTCTCTAGCAGGATCCTCGCTATCCATTTCATCCGGTACATTCAAGTTGGGAGTCGGATCCAACGACTGCTCTACCTCCACTCCTCTCTCCTCCGCATCCTTCACGTACTGAGCGATCTTGCGGTAGACCTCTTCGTCCCTGATCTCGTTCTCCTCGTTGAAGATCCCCAACGATCCGCAGGAAACGTTGTTGTCCTCAAAAATCCTCGCAAGGCTGTGCAGGTGCCGCGCGTCGGCGCTCTCCTCAGTAGCAAAGGTCAGGAAGGCCCTTTCGAAGTCGTTGAGCCCCTCGTGGATCCCAGGAAGCTCCCGCACTTGCGACAAGTTGCGGTAGACGGGAACGACTTGAAGGCTACCCGGCATTACATCGTACTTCCTGCAATCCTCCATTGTCGCACAGATGGGCCTGCCAGCAACCGGCCGCATGTTGCTGTCGAAGGAGAGAGCTGCTGTGCGGCTGACTGACTTGATGAACTCAGCTCCCTCCCGGCATGATGCCTCCACGTTCTCCACGTCCCGCTCCTGCTCCTTGCTGGCCTCGGGGAATCCACCTCGAAGGCAGAGGAGGGACGGGCGGGTGTTGACAGTGGATGACGGCGATAGAGGAAGGATAAGCAGGAGGAGGGTAAAGGACGCGGTTGTATGCAAGGATCTCATGATGGGATGATAGATGTTGTCCCTGTATGTGAAATTGGGTTGAAGAGATGAGAATAGAGGAGTCGGGTGGTTGGAATGAAGTTAGAGGAGGGAGGAGGTAGAGATGTTAGGATGAGATTGCAGACGAAAAACTTGTGTTGACGCAGGAAAAAAGACAGAGTTAGAGAATCTAGTAGGGGGGGAGAGGAAAGATGCGAGAAGGAGGGTGAGAAAGTTAAATTTGATACCACAGAGGAGAAGTAGAGGTGAGAAGAGGTGAGAGAGGGAAAGGGAGGAAAGGTGAGGACGAGGACGAGGAGGACGAGGACGAGGACGAGAAGGAACGAGGAGGAACGAGGAGGACGAAGAGGAGGAGGAGGGAGGGGGGAGCGGCGGGTAGGTAGGATGAACTACACAGCATTGCGTTGCCTCTGATAAGGCGGATCAAAACGAGCCCGCCTCAGAGAGGAGGAGGGGATGAGGGGGGCTGAAAGATAAAGAGGGGCCGAGGTGGCGGGAATGGCAGGAAGCGAAGGCGAGTGAGGGAGAGAGAGGAGGAGGAGGAGGAGAGAAGAAGAGAGAAGAAGAGAGAGGAAGAGAGAGGAAGAGAGAGGAAACAAGAGGTTGAAGAGGAGAGAGTGAGGATCATGCTCAACAAGTGCTTCAGGTAGAGCATGACAGGAGTTCAGAATAATCCCCTTGGCATGTAAGGTTATCAGAGTAGCTCCAAGGAACTTCAGCCATGTCCACCAAAGTTCTCCTCGTCGTCCTCGTGATCTTCGTCGCCTGCTCGTATTCCTCCGAGGACGTCTCCTACGATCCCGTGAAGCTGGACAGCAGAGGCAAGAGCTTTCAAACGCCAGAGCTCAAGTTATCTCCTACCGGGCACAAGAAGGGCCCCCTGCCTAAGACGCCGCATGCTAAAGTGAAGACGCAAGGGAAAGCGAAGATGAGCGGTCTCAAGAAGCCGCGCGCGTACTCCAAGAGGGACTCCCTGAGTCCCGAGGCTCAGCTCCGTCCCCAGCACAAGGATCAAGTAGCTGAAGTCCTGGTCGGAAAGGACACTCCAGCTGAGCTAGGGCAGCAAGTCAGGTTGTCTCGGACAACTCTGAAAGAGAGGCCGTACCTTCCTGACAAGGGCGCCGGTGCTCCCTCCCTCCTCCCTCCTCCCTCCTCCTCCCTCCTCCTCCTTGTCCCGCTCCTCGTTCCTCCTCCTCCTCGTGGGTTGATCGGTGCTTCAGGACGGATCACAGCAGTACAGAAGGGTGGGATGAGCTGCATGGTGAAGTTTGACGGGTGCTGCTCCCTAAACGACCTGCCGTTTTTGACTTTCTTGCGTTGCAGAGACGCCGAGGAGTACCTGTTCAATGTTGGGGGGTTTGCCCCTTCCCCCCCGCTCCCCCCCCCCCCCCTCCTCCTCCTAGTCCACCGGTGCTGAGAAGGAGAGACGGTGATGAGCGTGTGCTGAAGAGGCTCCGCCCCTCAGCTACGGCTGTAGGCAGGCGACCTCGGCATGCCCAACTTGCAAGGCGGCGCGCTAGGCAGACTCGATGTGACCACCGTTGCGGGGAAGGGCCGACGGCTCATTCCTTTCAGCAAACCCTAAACCAGGTTGATTGGTCCGCGCCTGCTCGTCAGGAACGCACCACAACTTTGTCCTCTGTCGATTGCACTCGCGACGTCCAGGAGTCTGAGAGTCTATCCTGGAATATCAACACAAGAGATTCCCACTCGGTCCAGAGCTGCCGCGAGCGTCTGCCTTGGTATCCTCATGGCAGGGGGCTGTGCCCTCGTGGCACAGACGAGAGACGAGGCCCGCTCTTGCAGCATGGCCGTCTCAGAGCGTCAGCTCGTTCGCCTGCTCATGAGTTTACACACAATCTGAGTCTCTCCTCTCCTCTCCTCCTCCTCCTCCCTCCTCTCCTCCTCGCCCTCCTGAGCTTGTCTGACGCCCTGCTTGCTTTCAAGGACTGCACAACGAGTACGAACTGGCGATCGTACAGGTGGGAAGCTCCAGGGAGGCTGCTGAGTCACGGGATAACGTCGGATCCCCGCAGGCCGCGGTTGACGGCCCGAGAGCAAGGGACAAGGGAGATGAAGAGCAGGGCTCCGAGGCGAACTTGCCTCAGCCGTCTCAAGTGAGTTGCTGCCCGTCCCGACGGGCTGGAAGAAGGCTGAAGTTTGATCCAGTTCACTCCGGCTGGGCGGAAACCCTCGAAGCTGGAGGAGGAGGAGGAGGAGGAGGCAAGGTCAGCACTGCATCGACCTCTGACCTCCACTTCCCCTCGCGCCTGACATTCGCTCCTCCCCCACAGCCACAGAATGAACGAGACGTTCTCGCCCTCCGCCGCCCTCGAGAAGTATGCTGGGTCGCACGTAGCAGCGGTCTTCAGGTAGCTGCTCTGGAGCTTGCGTGACTGCTGGAGTTGTGGGTCGACGAGAGACAGACTGCTGTGACGAGTAGTCAGACTCCTGACGTCGTCGCAGAGATTCTCGCCTAGAGCTCTCGCAGCCGAGGAGGAGGAGAAGCTCGCACGACCATTTCTTTTCCTCCCAGGAGACGCCGCACAAAGGGTCCGACGGCAGGAAGTTCCGACAAGACCCCGACAGCGACACGAGCGAGGCCGTCGAGCGAGACTTCACCGTCTCCCCGGAGAACAACGAGCCGGGGGAACTGCGAGCAAGGATCAAGCTGCTGGAGCAGGAGGTGAGGAGCCTCCACTTGACACCTGCCATTGACCCTCGTCCTTGCAGATCGAAGTTGTCAAAGCAGGTCAGCTGGACTGGAGCTGGCCTCCCTCTTCCCCGATGCTGAGATCCTTCCCGCAGAGCTGTCGAATTCCGAATTCAACTTGAAGTTGGCCCACAGCGAACTTGAAATCTTGAAGGCCAGGAACGAAACCATGTCGAGACAGAGCAAACTGTCCCCAGAGCAGAATCTGGCCGTCCTGAGTGCTGAGAAGATGGAGATCGAGCAGCAGGTGGGCGCGAGCTGGGTTTTCTGTCCCTCTGTAAATTTTCGTTTTCAGTTCTACTCGCTGAACTCGAGGCTGCAAGTTCTGGAGATCGAGCGAGATCTGTTGAACAAGACTCTACAGTCCAGGTGAGGAGGAGTTGGGGGAGCAGTCGGAGCCGTTAAGACTGTAGTTGTCAAACTTGACTGCTGGATTTGTCACTGGAGTTGTCAAAGATTGTCAAACTTGACTGTAGTTGTCGAGCAGGAATCTCGATTTCGAGCTGTCAAACTACTGTGCCCACCAGCTGCAGTCGAGTGTCAACCGGCTCGAGTCAGAGAACGCTGCGATCAAGAGGTCGAGAGCAGTCGCTCCCGCGCGTTCTGAACGAGTTCTGACAGGATCCTGACGTCACTGCAAGTGGAACGACAGCACCTGCTGAGTGAGAACGCCGTGCTGAAGCATGTCAATGCTCGTCGAGGTACATGGGAAGAAGAAGTTTCGTGCCCCGACAGACTGACGTATCCGCAGCAGAGCCTGTGGTGAACGTGTCGCGAGCTCAGGTTGAGAGTGATTCTGTTTGAGGATGCTTGATCGGGATGGAGAGAAAGATGAGGAGGAGGAGGATGGAGATAGAAATAGAGATGGTGGTTGAGATGGTGGTAGTGAGGAGGAGGAGGAGGAGGAGGAGGAGGAGGAGGAGGAGAATAAGGGCTCACTGATTTGGTTCCCTTCATTGATTCAACAGGATTACGAGGAGGAGCCTCTCCAAGAGGTTTTGGATCGCTGCAGCACCTTGGGAGATCGGCTGGACATGCTCAGAGAAGCTCTTTTCTCGCAGGTTAGCCGCCCTCCTCCTCTCTCTCCTCTC